GGGGCCGAGCACTTGAGCCCATCCTCTGCTGCTTTCACGGGTGCATTAGCAGGGAGCTGGAATAGAGGTAGAGCATCTGGGATTAGAACAGGCATCCAACACTTATTGAGTCTCTCTCACTGCTTTTCAATTTTAAGAAATTTTAAAGCAATTATATAAGATTTTATGATTACTTTTCCCCTTTTTTAAACATGGAAATAATGGTTCAGAGAGGTCAAATAACTTGCCCAAGAGCATGCAGCTGGTCAGTGGTGGAGAGAGGATTGTACCTGTGACTCCAGTGCCTTTGCTCTTGCCTCACTGTGATGATTCCTCTTCACAGGGAGCTCCCCTCAACTAGGCAGCTAACTACACACTTGACAATTTGATTTGTAATTCATCCAGGAACAACAAAATCTTGTGAGCACAAGTGTTTTACTCATTTCTGGCTCATTCTGATTCCAAGATAACATTCTGGCTTCTATTTCAATGAATAATACTGGTGGGTATACACTAACTTCAAAGATATAATTCATATCAGCTTTATCTCCTCTTCAGAGGCCACTGAAAATTGCTGGCCATGTCAGCTCACTTCTCAGACTAGAAATTATGTTGCCATTTTCTATAAAAATATTGAGACATGCACAGACACCAAACCAAAAGAGGTTGTTATATCCTATTTTCTAAAATTACAGCAAAGAGAGTCAGCTTTCAGCTTTCTCCCTTTGGATACCACACTGTCTTCTTTTTTTTTCTGTATTATTGGGTTTTTATTTTTTTTATTTTTTGAGTGTCATTTCAGCTTAGAGAAAATGGTTATCTTCCACAATATATTTTCTCTGATAGAATGCACTGCTCACTAGGTGTTGATGATTTGGTTGTTATCATCATTACAGAAATAAAAATGGAACAGTACAATGAAATGATGAGTAATATTCTGAGTGATGTGGAAGCAGTATTTTGAATGTAGCATTAGTATCAGGGCATGAGCCCTAGGAGATGTGATAATATCAGTTATTACTCTGGACCAAAAAAATTATCTTATCACCTATAGAGTTTAAATATTTTATTATACACATATGATATTATACTATACCCATAATGGCTTAACCTATTGTGCCATATTGCCCCCTACAACTTTCACAGTTTTTAAAAAATTTTAGGTACAAAGAGATAGCAAGATTTTGTTCATTTTTTTCAGTGATGTCTTTGATAATCCATTCAAAGAAGATCACTTAGTCCAACCTGACTAGCTGATTAAAGATCTGTAATCAGTCTTCACGGCAGAACAAGCATCTAAAATCTCTATCATCTCTGGGCAGCGAAGATCTACCAGGAAGTGCCTCTCCTTACTTTCTAACCTTATTACTTGGAACCTCACTTTCTTAAACCAAATTTCCTGTATTTGTAGCTCACTAGGTTTTCTATCTCAAATGGTCCAGTAGTCAAATAAGTAGGAGAAAGACTGTATTAAACAGGCCCTTAGGACTTCTCAGAGCTTTTACTAAACACATAAACATTTGTATAATATGTTTGGGGCAAAACACTCCATATTTCCAAAATGAATGTAACATTGAATATTTTCCTAGTGCTCTACCACTTTCCTTTTTTTTTTCAAAAAAAAAAAAAAGTTGGGCTTATTTTATTTTATTTGACTAGAGAGAGAAAGAGAGAGAGAGAGAGAGAGATCTCATCTGCTGATTCACTCCCCAAATGTTTACTACCCCAGGGCTGGACCTGGCTTGAAGGCAGGATCTCAGAACTCCATCTGGATTTTCCATGTGAGTGGCAGGGATCCCACCACTTAACTATCTTCTGCTGCTTCCCAGGGTGCACATCAGCAGGATGCTGGAATGGAGCAAGAAGCCAAGGCTCAACTCAAGCACTCGATATGGCATGTGGATATCCTAAGGAACATTTTAACCCAAATGCCCTGCCCTCCAACTGTCATTTTGAGCAATACCTGTCAAATACCTCAGCATGCTAGGATAAATTCTACTTCAACCATTCTTGAAAGTACTGTGCACATCTCTTTATCTTTGTTTTACCATTGTGTCTGGAAGTTCTCTTGTATGCTGTCTTTTCCGTATACTTGGACAAATTTTCTGCTTGTTTGAGAAATTTTTAAAACGTTACAATCTAAATTTGAATTTACATTAAAATAGTCAAGCTACTTATTCAGCTAGGTTTAGGAAAAGTGGACTTTGGTAGTAATTTGAAGGTTTTCTGTGGAAAAGGAATAGAATTTTGAGAGAGAGAAGTCAGTTATGGATAAGATAAAGGCAGAAAAAATACAATGTCATTGTGACTAAGGAATGAAAGTTCTGATGAGTGGAATCTCATGAAAAAATGTGGAGATTCTAAGTTTTACAGAGACACTAGCGATGATGAGGACAGCTTCATTAGAGTAGAGAAGTTCAATTCCAAATCTAGTGTCATAGACCTTTTGAGCTGCTACAACAAAATACCAAAGAAGTGGCTGATAAACAGCAGAAATTTGTTTCTCACAGTTCTGGAGACTGGAAATCCAGTATCAAAACACTAGCAGGAATAAATGACTGAAAATACAATAATTGAGGAAAAAACTGAAACAATCTTCCTGGAAATAATTGGTAGTAGATATTAACTTAAGTGGTCATGTCCTTTGATATAGCAATTCTATGTATAGAAATCAAGCTCAGAGAAAAAGGTATAGATGTGTACTCAAATTTGAACTCAAGGCTGTACATTACAACACACCTGAGAGTAAACACTGGAGCAGATTTAAAATATCTGTAAAATTAATTACATTATATCATTTACTTCATGAAATATTGTACATCCAACACTTCAAATATTCTTGATGAGTAATCAAATTGTTATTTAAAAGCTACATATATATAAAATAGAATTTTTCCATAAAACATATATGTAGTTCTCATAGAGAACTAATATTTATTTTTAAATCAAAGTATGTTAGGAGCATTGGCTTTAGTTCCAACTCTGTTAAATTTTACTTAATTTTTCTCATACTGAAGAAATGCCATTTGCATTCTACAGATTCTGACCTTATGCTCCAGAGTCTGCATACCAGGGTCCTACCTTAATATTTATATGATTTTGAAGTCATGTACTCTTCTTAAACCATGGTTTCCTCATCTATAAAAATAGATATTTATTTTTTCAGCATAATAAAGGAGTCAAATAGGGTAATGAACATACAGCATAGTGGTTGGCATAGAATAAGTCCTCAATATTCAATATTAGATGATCATTTTTAAACATGTATAGCCACCTCAATATATGGTTATGAGAATTAAACTAATGTATCTTAAAATATATATATTGGGGCTGGCGCTGTGGCACAATAGACTAACCCTCCACCTGCGGCGCCAGCACCCTGGGGTTCTAGTCCCGGTCGGGGCACTGGATTCTGTCCCAGTTACCCCTCTTCCAGGCCAGCTCCCTGCTATGGCCCGGGAGTGCAGTGGAGGATGGCCCAAGTCCTTGGGCCCTGCACCTGCTTGGGAGAAGCACCTGGCTCCTGGCTTCGGATCAGCACAATGCACCGGCCCAGCAGCCTTGGAGAGTGAACCAATGGAAAAAGGAAGACCTTTCTCTCTGTCTCTCTCTCTCACTGTCCACTCTGCCTGTCTATATATATATATATATATATATATATATATATATATGGACCTGGCACACAGGAGGTCCTCCAGGAGTGTTAGCTCTGTTCCTCTTCTGCCCTGCCTCTCTTTGTTCACTTCTCTCAAGGAAGGAGGAGCAAGGTCTCCATGAAGCAGAAAGAAGTCAAAGGTAGAGTATGGCACCACCTTATGGACAACAGTATAAGCACTGAGAGAGACTGGCCTCCTTGTTTTCTTTTCTTTTTTTTTTTTTTTTTTTTCCAATGAAGCCTTTTATTTAAGGAATACAAACTTCATGCATTTCATAAATACAGCTTTAGGAATATAGTGATTCTTCCCACCACACCAACCCTCCCACTCACACTCCCACTCCTCGTCCTCCTCCCTCTCCTATTCCTGGTCTTATTTTTAACTAAGACCCATTTTCAATTAACATTATACACAGAAGATTAACTCTATACTAAGAGTTCAACAATTTTGTACGGAAAAAAAAATCTGTTTCTCAACAGTCAAGACAATGGCTGTTCAAAGTCATTGCATCTTGAAGTTAATTTCACTTATTTTTTTTTTTTTTTAGAAATTTAACTAACTTGAAAGAGGTACCCAAGAATGATATATCTTTTGCGAGCACTTAGGAAGGACATAGATACAACTTATGAGACATAAGAATATCCTTCACTTAATAAATTAAAAGAATATAAGTCTTTGGGAGCAAGTTTTATCATTTATTAAAGAAGCACCTAAGGAAAAAAAAGCACTGGAGTTGAATACTTTCGCATAACTAAAACCTATGAGACTTAGAATATCCTCTACTTAATACACTAGAGCAAAATAAATCTTTGAGAGCAAGTTTTACTGTTAACTTTCATAATATACCTCTTTGATAACAGAGGTCCTGCATGGGAAGTTACTGCATAATGACTCCTGTTGTTAGTTTAACCATGAACACTCTTATGTGTGATGTCAGTGATCACCTGATACACTTGACATGATATGCCTAGGCTCCTTCAGTATTTAGACAAGGTCATAAGCAAAGGGGAAGTTTTCTCCTCCCTTCAAAGAAAAGTACATCCCTCTTTGATGATCACTTCTTTTCACTGGGGTCTCACCCACAGAGGTCCTTCATGTAAGACATTTTTTTCCATAGTGTCTTGGATTTCCATGCCTCAAAAACTCTCATGGGCTTTATAACCATACCAGAATGCCTTAAGGGCTGGTTCTGAGGTCAGAGTGCTACTTAAAGCAATTGTCATTCTATGAGTCTGCTGTATGGACTGCTTCCCATGTCACCCCTTTATAATTATATTATTGGAAATTGCATAAAGCTATTTGTCACAGACATGAGATTTCTGCTGTTCTTAGTCACTGCTCGACTGATTTGCTTTTTCTTCCTAGTGCTGTTTTCTGGATGCTTTTCATTTGTGAGGGAGCTGAACAAGAATCTATTACATTCTATTGTAAAGGATGAGGAGTGGTAAGTCACACCAGCCTTAACCTCTTCTTATAGGGACTGTTGCTCAGTCCTGGGTGGGAAATAACCAAAACTCAGACTGTGAAGGGATAGCCAAATGCCTAAGTTTTTTGGGGGCATATGGGCTCCAGAGGTCAGAACTCTTGTATTTTTGGCTTTGCAACTCTTTTCTAGATCTCTCAAGAGAATGGGGTAAATGTTGGTTTACATCCACCAGGATGGAGGACAGAGAAAGATAATGATAATGTAGATGATAATGTAGACCACTGTGCAGAATGAGGATCTCCATTTAGCCTTTCTTTGGGAAATAAAGTCATGCTCAAGGTAAGCTGTTAATAGAAGTTATCTCTTCTAATGTACCTTATTCTCAGTGTTCCATGGAAGATACCTTGGGACAGTGAAACAACACGGACCTTAAATGCTGTCATAGCTACTCATTGCAGTGCAATATTGGAAAAGTCATTTCATCTCTGTAGGTCTTGATTCTCCCAATTCTGAACTGTGAATAATTATCATGACATAAATTTATAGGATGACATGATATAATAATATGAAGATGTGAGATAATGTGAAAATATCTAGTGTTTGACACTTACTGAGTAGTAAAAATGGTCTTATATTTCCTTTTTAGGTTGCATTTGTTTTCTTTCTAGGATTCTTGCTAGTAAGGGAGTGATGGTAGAAACAGTAGATTACACGAAGAATAATCCTATGCTTGTGGGGTTTATCATTTGAAGCAGAACGATCTTGTGACTGCCAGCCCTGGAAAGGGTGCGGGGTCCAGACTACATGTAAGAAAAATAGAACCAATTAGGACCAAAAGTATTCATTGGGATCTACTGTTAACATAGTTGACAAGGTAACTTAGCAATCAATAGATCTGAACTCCAAGCCCAGTTCTTCCATTTTACAGCATGCCTTTCTCCAAGCATATATCTTAGACATTTTTTGTATGTCCACAGAGGTGAAGCAGCTTGTTCAATTTTATTTATCTGATCAAAGTTAAATTCATGCTTCTATCTAATTTTGAATCTAGATCCACACTAGATACATATATTTTGATGCAATATATCTATTTAAATATTTATATTTAAATGTATCTATTTAAATGACCTTCAAATTGATTACTTGCCTGCCCATTCACTCTAAAATAATGGTATTTTACACACTGGTACTTGCCTCACATTGCATATCAAAATGAAGATGTTTTCTGAATAGTTTATTTGAAATAAGGAAATTCTAAAAGTCTAGAAATCATCTAGACTCTCTGAGATATAGTTATTCCCTAATGGAAACTTTTTATTTAGTCTCAACAAGTTTTAAAACCCAATCTGAAGAAGGGATTGAATTGAGAAAAACAATGTGGCAACACAAGGAAGAGCAGACTGGGGCCAATTGGGTCAATAAGATTTAGGAGTAAGTCAAAATTTGAAAATTCACCTCTGCCCTCTTGTATCTTCTCACTGCATCCTCTGGCCTCCCACCCCTACCTGCCCCAGCTGTCCATGCTTCCATTTAATCTTTGTCCTTTGAAAAGTCATGGAACAGAACTTGGAGACAAAGCAGCTTGGCTTTAAATCCCATTGCCTGTCACTTACTGAATATATAAGGAAAACTACTTTACTCTTTGATCTTCACAAAAATATAAGGCCATCTACCTCCACGTGGCAAAATATGGATTAAGTCATACCTGGTGCTGCTTACACGTAAGTTCCTGCAAAGTCATTTTATCCTCAGTTATATGGTCACTGCCTTATTCTAAGGGCTTCCAAGAGTTGCCCGGATGTTGTTCTCAGGTTCTGTGCTCTTGGCCTTTTGGAGAATTGTGAACAGTCTTCATTGTATTTGTTTGGTTTCTAGTAAATGAATCTCCTGGATTGGCTGGCATTTGTATAGATCATTGGAAAGCAGTTATATAGTGCCCTATGTCACTTATGAAGCACATTGTCTCTTCAATGCTCCATTGTGCAAAGATGCTGCATTGTTGATGTGTAGAGTTCATTTAGGCAGAGTAAATAAAAAAGTCTTTGGGTGTGAGAGAAGCAAATCCACAATGGACTCTTAATTGACTGTACAATTTAAAAATAATTTTGTGGGACAAAGAAAAATGTGTAATGTGGGAAAGGGACAATTGTAATATAGTAATGTAAAGATTCAGGTGCATTAACAGGCATCCACATATAGGCACTCTAAGAAGCTATTAAAGCACTTAGACAAATGAAGAGGCTATGATTTTTGCACCACAGCATATATTCACTTTAAAAACATAATACAAGCAAAAACCAAGAATGTCATTCGTAATATCACAACCCAAAGATAGCTTCTGCTTAAATTTTGAAGCATTTTCTTCAAATAAATGTTCTTTGTAAACATACAAGCATAACTTAAACTCATCTTTTAAACATACAGGAAAATTTTGCTGTAGTAATGATACAGGTGAAATGGCAGTGGAGAAGGATGACCTGAGTTCTTTGTCTCACATGAAAAAAGAATTTCCATGCAGACATGTCAATGAGCAAAGCAAGATTTATTTAAGTCAGAAAGTGCCTGCTGCAGGAGCCAGGCAGGAGGCTCCAAGAGAGCCAAACTTGAAAGACTGGTAGAAGTGGGGTTAAGCACAATTCTTTTGGGAAAAAAAAAAAAAAAAAAACACAAAAACAGAACAACAGCTAACAATCAATTGGAAGGCAATGACAAAACCCATCAAAAGGATAGATTTGTAGTTTTGTTTGCCCTGTCTTGATCACGATAAAACAAAAAAGCCATCAGAAGGGTGGGTTAGGTAACTTCTTTCTATTTTCATGATAAAACAAGAAACTCAGAAGGATGAAATGAGCACTTGTCTTGCTAAAGGAAGCTTTTGGGGAGAAACAAGCATTTTACACCATGGCAGAGATTTCCTCTTTCCTCATTTTGACAGAGATCAACATAATTGCCTATTAAACGATTTGACTCCTCACAGTAACTTGCAATAGACTGCAGGTTTGTGTTCTCCCTTTCTTAAAGTTCACATATTAAAACTGAATTCCTGTTGTGATGATATTTAGAGGTAGGAGATTTGGGAGGTGATTAATCATGACAGTGGCATTCTCATGTACAGGATTAGTGCCTTTATAAAAGAGACCCCGGAAAGCTCCATTCTCCCTTCTGCCATGTGATATGATAGTAAGGATAAGAGCATTTATGAAGAAACAAATGGATCCTCAGTAGATAACAAATCTGCTAGTTTCTTGATCTTGAGTTTTATATAGCCTCCAGAACTTATAAAAATAAATTTCTATTATTTCTATTATTTCTAAGCCATCTAGTCTGTCATATTCTTTTATAGCAACTTGAACTATCTAAGACACTCATTTAGCAGATTTTGCTATCAATATCTTTTGTAAATTTCCATAGAGCCCATTTTTTTCTTAGAGTAAGTTGAGCATCTAAAAAGATATTAGACAGGTTTTCTGGTACCCATCTCAGAGGGGAGTAAAGGATACATGACACTATGACAAAGTAAAGTCAGATCATACTTGAAAGATCTCTAAGATATATTTGTTTATTTATTTGAGAGCCAGAAAGAGAGAGAGAAAGACACTTTCTCTTTTGACTCACTTTTTAAAGGCCTGCAAAGACCAATGACAATAGCCAGGAATTTAACCTAGATCTTCCACATCGGTGGTAGGAACTCAACAATTTGAACCATTACTACTGTCTACCAAGATCCACACTATTAAGCACAAGGAAACTAGAGTCAGGAGCCAGAACCAAGCATGGAATCTAGGTACTCCAATGTAGGATGCAAGCATCTTAACAGGTGTATTAACTGCTATGCCAAATGCCTGCTCCAGTGCCCTTGTCTTTTGAAGTAGTAACTCCCAGATTATCCAATTAGAGAAGGCCAAGAACTCAAGCTCATCAGTTCTACCAAATGTAAGAAGTCTGCCTAGCTTTTCCCAGACAGAAGACATCCTGAGATATAGGACCTCTTGCCGAAAGTCATAAAATGTCTTCCCATGTAGTACTGCCGTCATTCAGAATGATTCATCTTAACTGGCTGGAGAATGTGGAGAGAGTCCAGTGAGGAGAAAGGGATAGAAAAGTTTGACAAATTGTTTTGGTAAGGTCACGCTTCTGAAGTTCATTAGTGGAAAAAAACAAAATCACTGCTTGCTTTCCCACCAGGGCAGAACGAATTCAACAAATAGTGGTGGAGCAGAGACTCAATTCAGGACTGCCTGAATACTAGAGTTACACTGAAGGGTGCATGCCCAGTGAAGCCTGTACTACAGGAGTGATCTGAGAGCACACCTCTCTGTTAGGATTAGGGTAGTAGCTAGCAATCAAGAGATATTATTTAGCTTGCAGAATTTTAAGATATTTTATCGTCCCTATAACATCATATTCTAGGAAGCCTTTTCACCAAAACTTAGTGCCAAGACAGAGGCATTTGTAGTGAATTTTGAACCATCCTCATATCAATGACTTCTTATATCTCCTCTCCCAAATCCTAAATGGGCTGCAATACGTACTATGCTTATTCAAATACATGAAGTAATAGATACATTTTATTATTTGAAAGGTCTTTTTGGGAGGAGATAAACTAATAGGCAGTTGGATCAGATCCCTGTAGGAATAAGAAAAGGAGGAGTCCCTTTAAGATTCTCTCTTCTCCCCAGAAGCAAGACAAAAGTGCTCATCCCAACCATCCGGAATTTCTGGTTTTATCATGAAAATACAAAGAAGTTACTTCACCCACACTTCTGAAGGCTTTTTTTGTTTTCTTGTGCAGGCTAGACAGGATTACAATTCCTGCCTTCTGATGGATTTTGTCCCTGCCCATTGATTGTTCCCCAAATTTGTGCTTAAAAGACTCCACTTCAACTGGTTTCTAGGATCATCCTCTCTTGGAGCCCCCTTCCTGGCTGCTGCTGCAGGAGGTTCCTAACCTAAGTAAATCTTTCTTTGCTCGCTTCCTTGTCTGCATGGAAATTCTTCTTCTGTGTGAGACAAGAATTGAGGTTGTCTTCTTTGTTGTCATTTTCCCAGTACCAGCTTGGCACCAGGATTGGGGTACAACTCCAAGGTGACTCAGATCCAGTTTGAATTCAACTCCAGGCAGCATTGGATCACCTCTCCAGATGGATAAGCATGCAGATTGCTCTTGCTTCTGTTTTTTTGGAGAGCCCCACTCTCCGTAGTAATTCTCATGCTTAAGAACACCAGGTCCCTGGCAGCCAGTTAAAAGTGGTTAGTGTGACTGCCAGTCTTAGGACTCAGAGGTCAAACATCCTGACTGGGCTGGAGCAATCCTTTGCAGCTGAGACTCTATACTTCTCATCTCAGCTCTGGGAATGTTGGTCCTGTTAGTCTCTGCTTCTTTTCACAGGGATTGGCCCATTGCACAAGACTGGGCGCGGGTCTTGGTATAATTGGGAAATTCAAGCCAGAGCAACACTCTGATGAATTCCAAAGGCTCCTTGACAGAGCACTAGAATCTGGCAGCCCCTTACGGTGTCAAGCTGAAAACTACATTCTGTTCTTACCTCGGAGATCAATTTATCACTTTGGAGTGAGGCCGTGGGCTCTGTGCTCCATGCCCCTGTGAATCCTTTCTTTACCCCAGACCCTGAAAAGATGTATTTATTTTTTCTGTTTGCCTCACTCGTCTAAATGCTTTCCTTACCCTGCCAAATCCCCCCAAT